GCAGCAGGACCCCGGCGCGCGCCACCACCCGAGCCCGCTGCGCCTCGACTGCAGGGTGCCCGGGGCCGCGCCCGTGGTCAAGCGCGAGCCCCTGGACTCGCCGCCGTGGGCCGCGCACAGCCAGGGCGGGCTGCCCGAGATGCTCCCCAAAGGCGCCCTGGCACCAATGGCGCCGCCCAAAGCTCCAGGGTGCACGTTCCTGCCGTAGCTGCGCCGCCCCCTGGCGGCGTCCGTCCGCGCTCCGAGGCGCCGGCCCCGCGCCGGCCGGTGGTGAGCGACGCTGTGCGAGGTTGCAGCTTCGGTCCTCAGCTGCGTGTGTGCAGCACATGCCTTGGTGTGTCCTGTCTTATTACATGCACAGTGGCCTCCTGGCTGTCCCACGGGGCATCGCTTTTCTCGGAAGGGTGACGCTGCCCTGGGGCGCCGGCAGGCCGCTGGGCTGCGGGGCTGGATTCCGCGAGGCTGGCGGCCAGCGCCCCTTGCTGGGAGGTCAAGGCCAAAGATAGCGTTTCTGGCGCTTCCTTTGTAAGGCCGCCAGGGTGTGCGCTGCAGCTGGACGTTGGAGAGCGGCAGAGGCCCTGCAGACGCGACCCACCAGACAGGTCACCTGAAATATGACTGGTCTGCTGAAGGTGACCGTCCCCGGAAGGAATCCAGGAAGATCCACGTTTCCAGGTGCTGAGACACTGGGCAGAAGCGCTGGCGCTCCTTACGTTCTTTCACTACAACGTGCAGCCTGTGGTCAGTGGTGCCGGAAGTTGTGCAGGGCGTGGAAAGTGACAGGGTGACACCCTATTCCTTCTGGAAATTTTCTGTGAAGATGGCTGCTTCTCTCTCTCTCTCTGGACATCAGGGACACAGATCTTCCAGGGATAAGGTTGGGAAGAAGAGAGAAATACAACACGCACAGAAAGGAAACGGGAAATCCAGCTGTTTGCTGCGCGCTCCGTCTCAGAGACGTCTCCTATCCTAAAGACAAGCTGCCTTTCCAGGAGGGAGCCCTGGCTGTGCAGGGGCTAAAAATGCCTGGCTACTAACTGAAGGGTTGGGGGGTGGAACCCATCAGCCACTTGTAGGAGAAAGAAGAGGCAGTCAGCTTCCCTGAGACTGACAGCCTTGGGAACCCGGTGGGCAGTTCCACTCTGTCCTCTAGGGGCGCTGTGGGTCGGTATAGACTCCAAGGCAGTGGATTGGTTTAATTTGTTTGCCTTCCCAGGAAAGACTGTTAGAGGAAGATCCGTGCCACATGTTGAAAGATAATAATAATAATATATTATTATTATCATTACAATAATACACTCTGATTATGTTGTGTTGTTGTTAGGTGCCATCGAGTCAACTCTGACTCATAGCCACCCCATATCCAACACAACAAAACACTGCCCGGTCTTGCACCATCCACACAATCCTTGCTATACCCAAGCCCATCATTGCAACCACTGTGTCAATTCATCTTGTTGAGGGCTTTCCCCTTTTTCATTGACCCTCCACCTTACCAAGCATCATATCCTTCTCCAGGGAATGGTCCCTTCTGACAACATGACCAAAGTAGGTGAGATGAAGTCTGGCCATTTTCAATTCCAAAGAGCATGCTGGCTGCACTTCCTCCAGGACAAATATGTTAGTTCTCTTAGCAGTCCACAGTACTTTCAGCATTCTTCGCCAGCACCACAATTCAAAAGCATCAACTCTTCTTCGGTCTTCCTTATGCGTTGTCCAGTTCTCACATGCATACGAGGTGATTGAAAACACCATGGCTTGGATTAGGCACACCTTAGTCTTCAAAGAGACATCTTTGCTCTTCAGCACTTTAAAGAGGTCTTTTGCAGCAGATTTGCCCAGTGCAATACGCCATCTGATGTCTTGACTGCTCCTTCCATTGGTGCTGATTGTGGAACCAAGTCATACGAAGTCTTTGACAACCTCAGTCTTTTCCCCATTTACTGTGATCTGCTGATTGGCACAGTTGTGAGGATTTTCATTTTCATGTTGAGATGTAATCCATTCTGCAGAGTGTGGCTCCTGACCGTTGTCAGTAATTTGAAATAAAAGCATAAATTAGGGCATGAGGGTGCCATGCAACCCAACCCTGGAGATGACAGGAAGTTCAGGATCCATGTTGCCCAGGGTCCTTTGGCGCCCAGGCCTCTGCACCCATCCGCCTGTATGTGCCCGCGTGTGCAGAGGCCCCGGCTGCACTCAGCTCTGAGGCGTCCATGGCTGGCCGGCCAGTGGTGCCCTGGACAGAGTCAGCTTTGGAGCCACCCAGCATTTCCCTGCCTCCTCGAGGAGCACCAAGGCCCCAGTGCTGCCTCATGGTCCTGACGCACTGCCTGTCCCTTCCCCTCCAAGGCCTGTGCCACCATCACGCTGCCACAGAAATCCCCGGGCTGGCACTTTTGTTGTTACTATTGTTTTTTAATAGCCATGTTCCTCCTAAAACCCTGTGTGGGGAGGACGAGGATGGCACCTCAAAGGTGAGGACGGCTGGGTCCTGTTTTGAAAGGCCGTCCTGAGTATGTCACTGCTGTAGGTCACTTCCACTATAAGCTGGGAAATGACTGAAGTCACATATAGACTGGGCTTGGGGTGGAGGGAGGAGAGAGACGTGTATGTTTTTGCAGTTTCTTCTGGAAAAGTTTTCAATATTTAGGCTGCCTTGTTGATTTTGTAAACTGGGGACCATTCCTGTCACTTTGTACAGTTTTCTCAGTGCCTTCAGGAAGAGCTTTCAAGTACATTTCTGGGACTGGCTCATGTACCGTCTTTGACTCTGATGTGTAGTGTTTAATACAGGTTTACCACGCACGGCGGTGTCTGCGAGGTTTTCCAAATGAAGTTCCTGTATTTCCTTTAAAGCGTGTGCTCAATAGACACCCTAACCTCCCTCTTTATACGGATGAAGGTAACAAAAATGGCAATAGAAATGAGCAGGAGCAGGCCCCGCTGAGGAGGGAGGACAGTGGGGCCACTCCAGCGACACTGTCTCCCCAGGGGGGCAGCCCCGAGGCCCCTCCCTGCTCCAGCTCCTCTCAGCCCCACGACTCAAGGGCAGTGTTCTCGTTCCCTACTGCTGCTCTGACAAGAATATACCATAAAGGGGATGGCCTTAACCAACAGGAGTTTATTCTCTTACAGTTTGGGAGGCTAGAAGTCCGAGTGCAAAGTACCAGGCTCTAGGGGCTGGGTGAAAGCTCCTCGACCTTGGGTTCCAGCTCTGCCTTTTGCTCCCGGCCCGCTGGAGCTAGAGGCATCTCGTCACTCAGGCAGCTACTGGCTGCTGAGGCTGACAAGCCCAAGGTCAACAAATAAAATGCCACAGTCCCGATGTTACCAAACCACACGGCAGGCCATTAATTCAAGTCCATTATAAGTCCCAAGGTCGACAGAGGCTGCTGAGCAACAAGTAGGCTACATGCAGGGTCCAAGCGTGCCATAGGCTAGAAACCAGCACTTTTGTTGTTACTATTGTTTTTTAATAGCCATGTTCCTCCTAAAACCCTCTGTGGGGAGGACGAGGATGGCACCTCAAAGGTGAGGATGGCTGGGTCCTGTTTTGAAAGGCCGTCCTGAGTATGTCACTTCTATACAGGAAGCAGTCCACATCCCAAAGGCAGCTACTCAGCTACTTGTGGTAGATCTCACCATGGAGTTGACTGCCAGTCTCATCATGGGGAATAACTACCACCAGCTGCCCAGCCACTCAACCAGGCCCAGCCAAGTTGACGTACAAATTTAATGGCGGGGTGAGCCGTCCAAGTGCTTTGTCCCATGAGGGTGAAGGGAAGGCAGAACCATGACGTCATAACATCCTTGGAGTCCCATGGGGTGGGGCGTTTGGCATCCACTCTGCAGGTATCTGAGCACCTAGGTGTGGGGCCCTCATGGTGAAGGGGGCAGTGGGCCTTGGACCTCAAGCCCCAGGCAGAGCGGCAACTCCAGGTCTATGTGTGGAGACCCCCTCTGAGGCACAGTTAAAGAACACCCCAAATCAAACAAGCTGCTGGACCCTGGACATTGCCTAATGTGCCCCTGCCAGTGTCTGGTTAAGCCCTACGGGGTCGTGTTGTCCACCCTACATGCCACACAGTTAGGAGACCGGTCCCCAGTCCAGACCTGGCCAGCTCTGAGGCTCTGGAGCCCCGCCCAGGCGAGTGAGGGGCTGTAGGACCCGTCCAGCTCCTCCCACACCTCCCACACCTGCTGGGTCAAATCAAGCTGCTCAGCATCCTGGGGCTACCTCACCACACCTTTGCCCAGGGCCCCTGACGCCCCGCTCCCTCCCCTCATTTTCCTCTCCCTCCATCTATCCTATCCCCTCCACATGACCCCCTTCTCACTCCCTTGCCTTCCCGCCCCCCCCCCCATCAAGAAGCACACACTGGGGCCCTGTGCTGTGCAGCTGGGACTGGAGGCAGGAGCCTTGAGGGAGGAAAGGAGATCGGGGAACATGGGGCAGACTTACAAAGGAACCCACGAGGCAGGGACTCTGCCCAGCTGGCCAGCCTGCAAGTGGAGAAGCAGCCTCCCGCCTGGGCCAGGCCAGCTTTCCTGCCCACACCCCCTCACTGTGAGCCCGGACCCCACATTGAAGGACCAACAGACCTGGCTTCTGATTCCTCAGATAAGATTTGGAATGTTGTGTAGCTTATTTCCCACACCCTGGCAGATGGCAAGGAGCTCTGATGGCACAGTGGTTAAAGCACTCAGCTACTAACCAAAAGGTCTATTGTTTGAACCCACCAGCGGCTCCATGGAAGAAAGATGAGACAGTCTGCCTCCATGAAGACTGACAGCCTTGGAGACCCTGTGGGGCAGTTCCACTCTGTCCTCTAGGGGCGCTGTGAGTCAGAATCGACTCCAGGCAGTGGGTGTGGTTTGGGCTTTGCTTCTGTGAAGACTGACAGCCTTGGAGACCCTGTGGGCAGTTCCACTCTGTCCTCTA